GGCTGTAATGATACCAATGCCACCTTACAATGCTACCCCTTTTTAAACGGTGGCTTTGTTAATAATTGTAGCCATGAATCTAGGCCAACAATGACCAAATATATTGCTACTCCCATAGCCTAGATTATAGTAGTGTTTCTAATGCTGCCGCAGACACAGGGCGAGGCATGCGGCAAATAATGGGGAAAAGAAAGTTAAGTGAAAAGATTGTTATGTCTTGTGTGACCAACAGGACAAAGGAACCATTAATATTCATAAATCCAAAAGTCATTCTTGTTTGCCATGTTTTCAGAGTTCAAGTACCTTTCGGTAATTGTAGGTCACTATCGAAACCCATACCATACACGTTTCTTTCTCGCTTAAATGAGCATCCTACACTCGAAAATTGCCCCACATAGATCTCCCTCAAAACCCTCAAGTATCCCAATCAATAATTATTTCTTATGCCAGGCATTGGTGATTTCAATGATTGATTAATGTAAATTATTAGCAAGAAAAAACGAGAGTCTCCACTCTCTCCACAATATCTTTAAGGACCTCACCTAATCACTAAAGTTATGTTCGGATAAACAAATACACTTATGCTCGAGCATGTAGGCAAATTTCTCGTGAATCGCTACAAGATTAGGTCAACCATCCAAAAAGATTTGATTCAAAACGTATTGGATGAATTGAGAGAGACCAAAAATGATGATCCCTTCACATTATAACCTAAAAATGAAACACATTTCCAGAGGGTTTGGTTTTGCTTAATTTGTGGGTTCTCAACATGAAAGCCTGGCAATGAATTGAGTGTCTCCCAATCAATCCACATGAATCAATTCCCTTTGACCACTCAAGATTATACAATGAAAACATGTTAATTTATTGGCCTAAAAATCACCAAGAATCTTAGAGCTTGTCTGTTTTCAAAAACAATTGAACAGAATAAATAACCTTGTTCATTTACAAACCCATTCCAATCACAAATTCTTACAGATACTAATTTTTCAAGATCTTGTTACCTTACCAACCATAATATTATCACATTCACATTACCCATACATTACCTAACAATATGCAATGTATATTGACTCAATAATTTGTACTGCCTTGTTTATGATCTTTCCTTGCTTCATATAACAATACTTGTCCACCGCTAATCTCATGTATCTTATCTGGATCGTAAGTGTACTATAGAATAACATTGTAAAGTTTGGGTTATAAGGCTAAATAAATGTTTTGGCTGTTCATTCACCATAGCTGAGTAAATAAGACACTAATTTCTATTTAAAATTTTTGTTGGTTGAATCTCGGGCCCCTACCATCATTGAACTAAGAAATATGTTTCAATCCCTAATGTTGAATCTCAAATCCCCTTTCCATTCCATCAAGCAGTAGGGAGCTCTGTGGAGGCAGAACAGCATCTAGGTTGTAGGCTTTATCTTCTAGATGATAGCATTTTAACAGTGAAAGTACGAACCTTGATAACAATTTGGATCCGTACTCTTCTGCCAATGCTTGAGCCATGAAAATTCACCTAGGAACCTCTGTTATCCTGGCTTTCACCGTCGTCAAGCTTCACCAAATTTCCACTAAACCACTTTTTTCATCAGCCAGCCACTCCAAATGCTTGTTGAAGTTGATCGAGGCATAAACCACAGGAACTAGAAATGTGAGATTTCTGCTGCTGTGGACAGAAGTAAAGAAATAAAATTTGGTGGAAGTAATATTTAAGTTCATATGAACCGGAATGGGCAGTGAAAGGGGAAACATAGTTGAATCCTTGATTCTAATGCAATCCAATGGTATCCATCTAAAACCACTATCATAATATTCAAGAAGATATCACCTATCAGATCCCACATTGGTTGGAGAAAAAAACGAAGCATTCCTTATAAAGATGTGGAAGCCTCTCCCTAGTGGACCGTTTCAAAACCTTGAGGGGAAGCTTGGGAGTGTAAGCCCAAAGAGGACAATATCTACTAGCGGGGGACTTGGGCTGTTACATCACCATAGGATAACCTAGTGGTACGATAAAGGACTTAGAAAGAATGGGTTCAAGTCACAATGTCCACGTTAGTAACTAAATGTGATAGGGTCTAGCAATTGTTCTGTGAAAATAGTCGAGGCACAACAAGATAGATTGGATATTCACGAATTCTTATATATATATAACATTCAAGAAGACTTAAAAATGCTACTGCATTAATCTGCTAAAGGTGCAAGCTCTAGGCTATACCATTCAAAGCACGGTGTATGTCTAACAATCCAAGAGTACATCTCTTCACGGTTGTCCCACCCTTGAGGAAATAGATCGGACCTAAGTAGTAACAGATTTTAGCTCTATCCAAGTTACTGAGAAATGGCCAAATTTGGCCCCTTCAGGAAAAATAAACTATCCTATCAGCAGAAAATTATTGAATGCGAGAAAAGTAGAAGATAATGCAAGCAACGAAAGCTGGAGTTTTCAGAACATATAAACAATTAACACGAAAGGACCAAACTTTTACCAGTTATATGACATTGCCTTGCTCCCTTGCTTTCTTGAGAGCCTTCAATGTAGTCTCTAACGTTGAATATGCAGCAACATCCGTCAAACTTCTACTCTCAACTGCATAATCAAATACTTCATAGGCCTCCGCAATTCTACCACTCCTGCAAAGTGCCCTCACAAAAGTAGCATAGGAAGCAGCTTCAAGCTTCATATCACCGGATTTCATCAAACCATACAATTCAATACCTTTATCCAAAAGCCTAGACTTTGACAACCCATGGAGCAACGTATTGTATGAGCACGAGTTGGGACTGCATCCCTTTGCCTCCATCTCCTCAAGCAACGACAATGCCCCCAGAGCATCACCCTCGCGACACATTCCATTCATCAATGAAGTGTAAGTAACAACATCAGGGAAATGACCCATCTCTGCCATAATGTCCAGAAACTTTCTTGCATCCTTAACTCGCCCTGACTTCGATAACCCAAAAATCAATGTATTAAAAGTCACAACATCAGGCTCCAATCCCTCCTCCTTCATTTTCTTATACACTCCAATTGCCTCGCTGCCCCTGCCAAGCATACAATAGCCCTTCATAATTGTGTTATAAACAAAGCAATCCGGCTTAAACCCCTCCTCAGCTAGCACACTTACCAATCGCGTCGCCTCACGGAGATTCTTGCCATTACACACATTATCAATCAAGATTGTATACGTAACAAGATCGGGATTCGCACCACAACTACTGCGCATTTCATGAATAAAACCATAAACCGTAGACAGAGATCTGGATTTGCAAAGCTGTTTGACGAGATGATTGTATGTATAAGAATCAGGAGGTGAGTGTTTTTGCGAAAATTCTCTTACTAATTCAACAGCTTCATCAATCAGACCTGCCGAACAAAGCGATCGCACAGCAATATCAATTGTTGCCTTGTCAGGATTGAATCCATGGGTGACCATGAAATTGAGGATTTGCCGAACCGAGGCGAGAGAGGAATCAGTACCATTCCCGGAGGTAGAGAGTAATACATGGAAGGTCGATCGTTCCGGCGAGAAGGTAGGTTGAACTTTGGACATGTGGCGGAGGAAAGAAATTGAATCATTGAGTGAAGCGATTGAAGTGTAAGAATGAAGGAGAGAGTTATAGAATCGAACGTCGAGAGGGGCTTTTGTGGTGTTGATGAAGGAGCTGTAGAGCTTCTTGGCTTCTGCGAGACTGGCCGATTTAAACAGCGTTGGGAGTTTAGGCTTTTCACCGTGGCCGGAGCTCTGCGCCGATTGATTTTCCCGGGAATGTTTCGGAGGACGCTTCTTGGACAAGGAGCGGATCTCGCCGGACAAGAGCGATGGCGCCGCCGGAGGATTAGGTGGTTTGTTAACAATTGCGGTGGAGATAGCTGACCGAAACGATGGTGATAATTTCCCCATCTTCCAACTCCCCGCCAGTCGAATCAATTGGTAGGGTTTTTCACGATGTTAGGGTTTTTGCAGAATCTGAGATTTGGGTGGGAGTCAATGGGCCGGGCTTCGGCCCAACTCGATGAAGGCCCACAGTTCTCAGGGACATTGCCTTTAAAAATTATATTTAATATTTTTTAATTTAAAAAATGAAAATTCAAACTACCAATAATAACGGAGAATTACTCTGAGAACAATTATTATGAACTGAAGGGGGAAAAGAAGAAATATGTATAAATAAGAGGGCATGTTTGCAAATAATTAATTGTAAGATGACCCAATAAATGCTTTTGTCGACTTGTGGAAAATTGTACCTTGAAATTTAATAGATGAAATATCTATGATATATCTACCCTACCTATACAAAAATAAGTAAATATATATTTATTTAAAATTTAAAAAAAAAAAAACATTAGGGTGGATCTCTTAGAGGTCGGCGTTCTCGTAGTCACAATTCACTTCTTTTGGGGGCTAGCGTTCTCGTAGTCATCATCCAATTCCTTGGAGGGGTCTGCTAGCATTCTCGTAGTCACCCTCTTGAATGAGTCAACCAGCGTTCTTGTAGTCATCATCCATCCCCTTGGAAGATTCCGTGTTCTCATAGTCACAATCCACCACTTTGGAGGGGTAAGCATCTTTACAATCACAATCACTCCCTTGGAAGGGCCAACATCCCCTTGGAAAAGTCAGTAGCGTTCTTGTAGTCACAATCCACCTCCTTGGAAGGCCAGTGTCCTTACAGTCATAATCACTTTCTTGGAGGGTCCAGCGTCCTTGCAAACATATCGCCTGATGTCTGGCTCTAATACCATTTGTAACAGCTAAATCCCTACCAATAACAGTATTATCTGCTTTAGCTCGCAACGTATAATTTGTCACCCTCATAATTTTAAAACGTATATCCTAGAAAGAGGTTTACACAATTCACTCGCTGGAATAGTCTGTTGAATTGAGGAAATTCAGCAAATCCCTTCTTATAAATTGGGGCACTTCTCTTCTCATCTTCTTCATCAACAACCCATTTCCTTATTTTTCTTCTATAATCTCTGGTTTTCAGAGATGAAAAGAATGAAGCTTCATGCATTCATCTTCTTATCCCTTGCTTTGCTGTTGAGCGCCTCTGCCCAGCAATGTGGGCGGCAAGCCAACAGCGCTGTTTGTCAAAATGGGTTGTGTTGCAGCGAGCACGGCTGGTGCGGCACCACCGACGCCTACTGTGGGGCTGGTTGTCAAAGCCAGTGTCGCCGTCCTGGCCCAACTCCAACCCTCCCCCCTAATGCTGGATCTGGTGTCGGCCGGATCATCACAGCCGCTGTCTTCGATCAATTGCTCAAGTACCGTAACGACCCACGTTGTCGTAGTAATGGGTTCTATACTTACAATGCTTTCCTTACCGCTGCTCGATCCTTCCCTGCCTTCGGTACGACCGGAGATGATGCAACCCGTAGAAGGGAGCTAGCAGCTTTCCTAGCCCAAACTTCTCACGAGACCACCGGTTAGTTTATTAAGTTTTATCCATAAGAAATCACCCATATATTATCCACTTTAAGTATAAACTGAGTAGCTTTGTTTTGGGCTTCCCAAAAATGTCTCATGTCAATAGAAACGTATTTCTTATTTATAAACACATGATCATTCCCTAAGTTAGCCATCGAACAAACTACATCATTTGTTCGACATTTGAGAGCCCTCAAACAGCCTCCATTTAATCGAGGTTCGACTTCTCCTCTAGAATTCTCAAATAAAGTACACCATTTGTTCGAACTACACCTTCAAGGCTCACAAATTCTTTATTCAATATTTAAAGATTCTATTAACATGACTAAGTTAAAGAACATGACATGATACCATAGGAATCACGGATCTCCACAATAGTATGATATTGTCCATTTTGAGCATAAACTCTTATGACTTTGGTTTGGACTTTTCCGTAAAGCCTTATGCTAATGAAGATGTATTCCTTAATCGTGAGACTCCTTTCTACCAATCCTCAACATTATCAAATTATAAGAACAAAATTCTAATAAATAACGAGAGATTGTGATACAGGAGGATGGCCAACTGCACCCGACGGTCCATACGCGTGGGGATATTGTTTTGTTAGAGAGCTCCGACAAGATGCCTACTGTAGATCACCTGATCCGGAATGGCCATGCGCTCCCGGTCAGAAATACTTTGGTCGTGGACCCATTCAACTCACTCAGTAAGGAATTACCCTCTCTATCCTTCTCCCTTATGGCTTGTTTTATTATACTATTGTGGAGAGTCGTAATTCTTAACCTACTTAACGTTGATATCTTATATGATGCTAGCAACTACAACTACGGGCAGGCTGGGAGAGCGTTGGATTTGAATTTACTGAACAACCCGGACTTGGTAGCCACAGACCCAATTGTGTCGTTCAGAACAGCCATTTGGTTTTGGATGACACCACAAGGAAACAAGCCATCGAGCCATGATGTGATCATCGGAAGGTGGCAGCCATCGAATGTTGATAGAGCTGCTGGAAGAGCTGCTGGCTATGGTGTTATTACCAACATCATCAACGGTGAATTTGAATGTGGGAGCGGTCCTAACGATAGAGCCACCAGTAGAATTGGATTTTATACGAGTTACTGCAACTTGTTGGGTGTCACCATGGGACCAAACTTAGACTGCAACAATCAAAGGCCTTTCGGGTCCCGATAAAACCATCTCCACGTACCCCTCATAAAAACATCTATCTTTCTTGATATCCAATTAGTTTGATCTTTGTATGATTTAAATAATATCATAGCATTCTCTACTTTAATCTGTTACGTATCATTGTCAGTTTATTACTGACAAATATTATCTATTTTAACTCATTGTGTATCATCGTCAGTCTCACAGTTTTAAGATGCGTCTGATTTTTACACTTTTATACTTTCCCAGTACCTTTGATACTATTTCTAACCACTCAAGTCCTTTTCTTCCCCCAGCGCAGCCCGGCCCGAGACGGGACGGGCGCGCGACCAGCTCATGCCGCCTGGACACGTGCCCAGTACTGGTCCAGTGTGATCTTATTGGGCCGAGCTCTCTTCGAATAATTCATCCGTTTGAACTCCGATTTTGGCACCGTTTTCACCCATATTCTTGTTTGACAAACTTTGGAACTACTGTCAAAAAAAAAAAAAAAAAAAAAAAAAAAAAAAAAAAAAAAAAAAAAAAAAAAAAAAAAAAAAATCACGCTGCTCCAGGTAAGTGGCACCTCAAAATTTTGGATTTAGTTACGCTCTTAGTATGCATGAAATTATGGTACAGTATGTTTTAGAAGTTTGAGCATAGAATGAGTTGAGATGATACATGTTGAACGTGGTTAAGCATGTTTGCTGAAACTTTATCGAAATGCATATGCAACCACCTTATGAATTGAGATTCTTGACTAACTTTCCATGATTAGATGATTAAGTTATGCCTCTGTCACGCATGTTACAGTATTAGTGGTTACCCGGGGACGATTAGGGGTTCGCCAACTAACCCCTGGCCGTAAACTTGACTCGATTGTCAGGGGTCCGCGTAACTATAGAACTGGCCATCTTATTCTTGGAGGTACCTTGTGGGGACTGGTGGGAAGTTTGCCAGTTAATTTCCTATTAGTGAACTTATCACGAGTGATAGGGGTCCACGGTGGTACATTAGAGTTGGTCGAGGTGATTTTGCTCATGCCTATGAGTTAGCGGTTATCCGGGGACGATTAGGGGTTTGCCAACTGACCTTTAATCGTAAACCTGACTCGATTGTCAGGAGTCCGCGTAACTATAGAACTGGCCAATTTTATTCTTGAGGGTACCTTGTGGGGACCGGTAGGAAGTTTGCCAGTTAATTTCCTATTAGTGAATCTGTCACGAGTGACAGGGGTCCACAATGGTACATCAGAGTTGGTCGAGATTTATTGTTCATGCATATGAGTTAGTAGTTACCCGGGGACAATTAGGGGTTCGCCAACTAACCTCTAATAGTGAACTTGACTCGATTGTCAGCGATTCGCGTAACTATAGAACTGGTCATTTTATTATCGATGTTACCCTATAGGGACTTATAGGAAGCTTGTCAGTTAGTATCTTTTAAGTGAACCTGTCATGAGTGAAGGGGTCTACAGTAGTACACTTGAGAGTTAGTCGATTCCTAAAATGTATGAACCTTGAATATCGAGGCCGCTCCTCGAGGTCATTGAGATTAGATGATGAAGAGAGACTAGTAGAGACAATCAACCTAGTGACTTAGAGAACTTATGAGAATTCCAAGGGCTGGAGGTCCAGATAGGACCATGAACCAAGTGAAAACTAAAACGAGAAGAATCTAGGGGGTAGTCTAGGTTTACCCACACGGGGGAGTAAACCCCCACAAAAAAATAAAATGACAAATACATAAGCAAGATCAATAAGACTTTAAAACCCAATACGAACCATCAACAAGCTGCTTACTGAGTATATAGTATATACTCATCCTTGCTACTTTGTCTTTCTTTCAGACGAGGCTTGATGGACCGGTCGGGGCGGAGGCGCACACGAGCTGCGAAGGTATGGAGTTTTGGGCTAGTGTCATGTGTCTCATTGATATGTTTTCTTACCGAACTCTTTTCGTTTCATTGGTAAAGCTAGGTTTTATGAATTTCCTGTGTTGTGTTCCTTTGTGTGTACGTAGTATGAAGTGTCGGTATTGTGGGGAGTTGTCAGACGTTGATGTAGATGGACTGAATCTCCTTATGTGTATGCATGTTCGAAAGTTTTAAATTTACGCACTTTTCGCTATTTCATAGTAAGAAAGGTAACGACTCACTGCTCGAGTTCCTCGAAAAGCGGGTCATTACGCAAATAGTCTCTACGGTAAAAAGTTCATCTATTCATAATTACAACCTTAATGACAAAATATAAAACCAATAACATTCGGAAGTAAAAGGAATATAAAATGATTTAAATAAAGGCGACCAAGTCGATTATGAATGGATCATAATTGATATTCTAAGTAATAAGATATGAACACGAGTTTTAAAAAATGACCATGTGATATATTAAAAATTAACTAATAATTTAATATATTTTAGTAACATTAATTATTTATATAAAATTTACCTCCTATTTCATTTTTTATTAATGAAAATTTTCATTTATTTTTTATTTATTTTTATACTAATAGATAAGATATTCTCCCTTGTAATTTTTTTTTTCTATTAATATATTTTTTCAAATATTTTCCATTATATATATTTAAAATATATTAATTTGAGATAATTTTTTATGATGGATTTCATTCCAATATTAAAAAAAAAATGTAAAACATCTAAATAAATCTTTTAAACAAAATTATAATATAATATAATTTTCAACCTAATTTCAAAAAATTTGAATAGTAAACCTACATCAAATTAATTTATTATATATTTATATTTATATATAAAAATGGTATGAGTCGGAGAATGTGCTTATATATTTATATATATAAAAACGGATTCCCTAAGATATATCAGACATCAAAGACATATTAGACCTAGAAAACTCAGACATCTCAAACCAAGAAATTCATGTTATTTCCCTTATTGTTTTGGACCGTCTTTAACTAATGAAGAAATTTATATTCACTCCCTCATGTCGAGACCATGTCGACATAGGACTTAGAATAACGTGGAGTAGCTATTAATTTTAAAAGAATGGCGTTCTTTAACAATTTTTATACTTTGAAATGCTTATTCTACTGTACAAACAACATTTTAGAATCAAGAAAGGCTCCCCATAGCCTTAGCTCTATCCCTCAATATGAACTTTTGTACCTTTCCAGTTGAAGTCTTGGGCAAGTCTTGGAACACTATGGATCGAGGAGCCATGTAATGCGGCAAACGATGCCGACAGTACTCGATCAGCTGCTGGGCTGTGACATTGCATCCCTCCTTCAATGCAACAAAGGCACAAGGTGTTTCTCCCCAATGATCATCAGGGCGCCCTACAACAGCAGCCTCCAAAATTGCTGGATGACCAAACAGAACTGCTTCGACCTCGACCGAGCTTATATTCTCCCCGCCCGAGATGATCACGTCCTTCAGCCGATCCTTCACTTCGATATAGTGATTGGGATGTTTCACTCCAGCATCACCACTGTGAAACCACCCTCCCTTGAAAGCTTCCTCTGTTGCTTTCTTGTTTTTGAAGTATCCACTCATCACAGTGTTCCCTCTAAACATTATTTCTCCTACTGTTTTTCCGTCAGCTGGGACGCCAACCATAGTCTTGGGATCGATTACGTTGACGTCGTGTAGTCCAACGTGACGAACGCCTTGACGCACTCGAATTCTTGATCTTTCATCACAAGGCAAACAATCCCACATTGGCTTCCATGTGCAATATGTGCCAGGACCATATGTCTCAGTTAGACCATACAAGTGACAGATTTGGAACCCCATCTCTTCCACCTTAGTGAACACATGCGGTGGAGGTGGCGAACCGCCCGTCAAGACGACCACCGTGTTTGGTAACGGCCTGCGATCACATTCGGGAGAGTTCACAATCATGTTCAAGACAGTAGGCGCAGCTGCCATGTGTGTTACTTTGTGCAAAGCTATTTGCTCAAAGATTGCCTTGGGTGAGACTTTTCTAAGACAAATATTTGTGCCACCTTGAGCTGCAACTCCCCAAGTAAGGCACCATCCATTGCAATGAAACATGGGGCATGTCCAAAGATAAACTGGCATTGAGCCCATGCCAGCCAGCAGAACCGTCGCCAAGGAGTTCAAATAAGCACCTCTGTGGCTGTAAACAACCCCTTTGGGCATGGAAGTGGTGCCTGAGGTGTAGTTTATACTGATCGGATCCCATTCGCTTCTCGGGTTTCGGACCTCGAATTCACAACTCCCAGAAGCAATCAGAGTCTCATACTCATAAGCATTTGAAGATAATGAAGTGGGAGATGAAGCATATTCAGAATCATGAATTAAAACTAGCTTAGGTGGTTGGGAATCGCCTTGTCTAAGAAGCTGAATTGCCTCATTAGCAACTTCAAACAACTGAGTATCCACAAATATGATCTTGGCTTCTGAATGTCTCAGTAGGACTGATAACATAGAGGAATCATGGCGAGTGTTCAATGTGCAAAGAACAGCACCAGCCATGGGAGTAGCAAAGTGCAGCTCATACATGGCAGGGATATTAGGAGCCAGTGTTGCAACCTGTTCAATACAAGTTCAAATTTGCAAGAATGCAGCCATAATAGAACTAGAAAACATCCTATTCAAGAAAAATGACTTATACCCATCGATCGAATGAGAATCTATAACAGTCCAAGCTCACCGTTCTAGATATTGTCCACTTTGACCCGTTACGCATCGTCGTCAATCTCCCGATTCTAAAACGCATCTATTAGAGAGAGTTTCCACCCTTGTTCCCCAAAGAGTTTTAAAACCTTAGAGGAAGTCTAGAAGAGAAAGCCCAAAGAGGACAATATCAGTGTCTTTGTGTTGTTATAAATGGTATCAGAACTAGACACCGAACAGTGTGCCAGTGAGAACGCTGGCCCTTAAGAGGGTGGATTGTGAGATCCCACAGCGGGTAGAGAGGGAAACGAAACATTCCTTAAAAAGGGTGCGGAAAACTCTCCCTAGTAGACGCGTTTTAAAACCATGAGGCTAACGATGATACGTAACGGGTCAAAGCGGATAATATTTACAACGGTGGACTTACCTATGCAAACTCTCCAGCTACTCAATAAACAACTAACAAAGAAACAACACATGTTTGCACTAATTTTCAACACATTCATCCAAAATCAAATAGTCAGCAGAATCAGAAGATTATAATCCAAATCACCATTAAAGGAGCAGAAATCTAGCTTAATCACAAGATTAAGATTAACAATGCAAATTAGAGCAACTAACCACTTGGCCAGGAGAAATCCCAAGCTGGGTCATCGCAGAAGCCAATCTAAGACACCGATTATAGGTTTCTTCCCAAGTAAACGACACAGAACCGTACACAACCGATGCCGTGTCTCTGTAAACTTTGGCTGTCCGTTCCAAAAAGGTTACCGGAGACAGAGGAACATCGTTCGCCGGGCATCGGACCAAACCCGCCGTGGATTTCCAAGAATCCGATAAATCAGAGAAACCTCGACAAATCGTAGAAGGGAAATCCCACTTCCAGACAGCTCTGTTCAAGCTAAACACTGAACGGAACGACCGATTTCGGATAAAACGATTCATTGTCGCTGTGGCGATTACCAAGAACTTTGCGACAATCCGACACGTCCCTTGTGATGTTTTTCAATGGGGTTTTAGAGAATCTCCATGTGGGTGTTTAGAGGATGAAGGAGAAGACATTGACGAGGAAAGTGCCACGATCCGGATAGAGGTTGGGCAATTTTAGAATGAAAAATTTAATGGGTTTTTTAAAACAAATAAATCCGAAATATTAAATTTATTAACCTTGGAAGATACGAAATCTGTTTGGATAAATCTTGTAACGTTGGCTGTGTATAATGAAAAGTATAAATTTTAGCATAAATTTAGTTATCCATTGCCTTTGTAATCAATCATATGAAAGAAAAAGTTGAATTTCTGACATGTCCAACATATTTCAATTATCTATTTTTTATTATTTACATTTTTTCTATTTTTTTTAATTCAAACTAAATTTTGAAAACATTTAAATTTTACTTAAGAATTCAAATGTTTCCTAAAAATAAAAGTCACTGAAAAATAAAACTAATTTTTAAAAACACAATTATTTGATTTTTTAATTTTTAAATTTTTATTTTAAATTTGGATAATAAATAAACATCTTATTTGTAAATTTAATTTTCTAAAATAAAAATAAAATAAAATTTATTTTTAACATTTAATCAATCTAAAGTTTATATAGAGAAGGTTTATAAAAAATAAGTCGTTCTTTAATTTTAATATTTGAGCGACTTCATACATTCTAAGTAAATTTAAAAAAATGGTGAGTGACGTCAAGAAATGAAAGTAAAAGGTTTTTTTATATATAGTTGATCGTGCACGACTCAATTTATTAAGTTATAAATTATCAAAAAAAAAAAAAGAGAACTAAACTTTACACAAGTGGTGGAATCTTTAGGAAGATGACAATCACCATCTTTTTTTGGCAAAATAGTTTAAGCCCCTATTTTGGAAAGACGTGTTACAGTTTTGTAAAATAATTAGATATGAGTCCCACGAGACCTGCCCAAATAGAGCGGGGAATAAGAGAGATAGTGAATCGAAGTCATGTAAGGACCTGCTCCAAATAGAGCCGAAAATAAGAGATTTCTCCTATTTACCTAAATAGAGCAGGGAATGGGAGAGGTAGCAGTAGAGAGATTTCTCCTATTTGCCTAAACGAGGCCGGGACAAACTACATATATCAAAACTAAGGCACATACAAGTAAATTAAAATTGCTCTCTCTTTCAGATTTGCAATTCTAATACAACAGCACAAATTGATGTCTTAAAATTGAGATTATTGGAACAAGAAACGCATTCACAGCTCTCATGCTTGGGAAAACTGAAACAAATCTTCTTTTCTTTCCTGATTCTTCAGGAAACTGGGCAGAATTCTGACGACTCCAAAATTCTAAAACTGTTTTATGAATAAATGGTAGGATAAAGCTATTCTCCCTTGGTTGATCATCAATCTAAAGCAGCTATGACTGCATCGACAACCTCCTGCGTCGTGCTCTGTCCTCCAAGGTCCTTGGTTCGGTACTTGCCTTCAAATATCACCTTCTTCACGGCTGTTTCTAATCGATCGGCAAAAGATGGAAACTGGAGATGTCTCAGCATCATGGCAGATGATAAGAGCAGCGCTACCGGGTTTGCCTTCTTTTGTTCCACTATCCTATCATTGCCCACATTTCCTGCTGAAGCTCCTTGCTCAAAAACAGCGTGGTCGGCACCAACATTTCCTGAAGAAAAAAAAGAAAGTACAGTTTAAGTATGGCAAGAACCGAGCACTACCTTAGCTCCTACCCCATAAGAAACAAAAAGTGAATGCCGGGGAAAAGAAATATCTACATCTTTTTTCGTATTAGAAGTGTTGGAGCTGAAACCTCGATTGATCTAATGCTCAACGACAACAGTTTGATCCTATCACATTTGGTTGTCAAGGAAATTCTTAGGACATTCAAACTAAGCAAGTGATTATCATCATTTTGAATTCATTCCTTTTAATCTTTCTACTTTTTTTCACATTTGTAACCACCCAAACCACCGCTAGCAGATATCGTCTTCTTTGGGCTTTCCCTTCCAGGCTTCTCTACCCCTTTAGAGCTCAACCTCCTTGGCACATCGCCCTGATACTATTTGCAAAGAGTCCAAGCTTAAAGAGAATAATATCAGGCAAACCACCATGGAAAAATAATATTGTGTACCCTGATATCCATCTCTCTACACTAAATTCTCACTGCCATAGCATTCTCTCCGGTTACCACCAAATTAAGTTTAATTTCTGGTTCCATACTTCTATTGTGGAACTTTCATAACTGTCCAACATTGTTATGCATCAAGGAAATTAAACAATTTCGCCTTCCATCCATCTTAAATTTGAGACATACAAAATAAAAACAAGTCCTGCTCAGAACATGTCTACTTGATGCGCAACGCTGCCTCAATTTAGGCTCTAGGACTAACTTGAGAAATTCTAAAACATAAGGTTTGAATCTGAAACTATGAAACATTTGATCTTACCTCCCGGCATAACTCCTGTGCCACCAGCTATGCCAGCAGCTGTGTTTGCCACCAGATTTCCGTATAGATTGGGTGTCACCTGCAAAACCACATCCAATCATTATCAAATACCATCTCCTACTTTCCCAATATGAAATGTAACTCACTTCCATTGAATTCCTAGTTTTCAGATCACCAACCAAATCCACTCTAATATTTTCATGTTTTCTGCTAAATTCAGTCATCAAAAGTCCCATTCCATGATATATTGGAAGTATGATTAGTTGATCCAAATGCTCCTAGGTAGACTAATCTAGCTATTTCCAAATTTAGATATATAGATAAGATAAAAGGCAAGCCTGTAACAGCCCAAGCCTACCGCTAGCAGATATTGTCCTCTTTGGGCTTTCTCATTCAAGTTTCCCCTCAAGGTTTTTAAAACGTGTCTACTAGGGAGAGGTCTCCACACCCTTATAAAGAATGTTTCGTTCTCCTCCACAACCGATGTGGGATCTCACTCAGCCACACACCAGACATATGTTAAGATCTGAGAATCTAAGTGCATACCATAACATCAAATTGCTCAGGCTTTGAGACCAGTTGCATGCAGCAATTGTCTACAATAACTTCATTGTACTTTATTCCAGGATATTTTGTGGCGACCTCTCGACAAGATTCCAGAAAGAGACCATCTGCAAGTTTCATGATATTTGCTTTGTGCACGGCTGTTACTTTCTTTCTGTTGTTGAGGTAAGCATACTCAAAAGCATATTTAGCAATACGCTCAGAACAGAACTTTGTTATCACCTGGAAAAGAGTGAGTATGAGAGACAAAGAAAGATACTTGGAGAAAACCCCTGAGAATTGCATGGATACCAATTACCACCAATATCAATGTTCTTAAAACTATAGATTTCATATTAGTTAAGATTGTTAAATACATCAATTTGGTTGATAACCTCTTCTGTTTTCTCTGAAGAACTCAAACATTACTTTGGATAAGAATTTCATTTTTAATTTTCTCATCGTAATTTCTTAAGTATAGTTTTCGCCATCTTGAAAACACATTTGAGTTCTTGAATAAATTTAAACAACAACCAATTTTTTTAAAAGCATATGCCCGATTCGATAACCATTTGAGTTTTGGATTTTACTTTTTTAAAAATTAACCTCCATCACTACTACCAAATATGGATTTCTTTGTTTTGTTATCTACTTCTCCACAAAATTTTCCAAATCCAAACCAAGTTATCAACATAGTATCAATTGGAATCAGAACACCGATCGGTCTAAAATAACAAGCACGGCGAATAAAAACATGAGTACCTTAAGGCTTTCCACAACTCCAGGAACGACCTCGTGCTCCAAGCCAGAGTATTCACCCTCTGTATTTTCCCTAATCACAACAATATCCACGTTCTCATGCCTGGTAGGAAGCCCGGGGAGATTAAAGCAATCGACAAGCGACGCATAAAGATCAAGCTCTTTCCTCAGCTGAACATTAAGCGAACTCACACCGCCGCCAACAGGAGTCACCAAACCTCCCTTCAAACACACCTTATTCCTCTTAATCGAGTCCATTACTTCTTGAGGCACCTTCTTCATGTCGCCATGAACCTCAAACTTTTCAAAATAAACAGGGGCGTGCATCGCATCCATGACTTGCTCCACTGCACCAGTAACCAAGGGACCGATTCCATCTCCAGGAATCAAGGTCACGCCTCTTGGAGCGCCGTCTCCTGGTCGGGGCATGTAAGTGACGGATCGATTTTGAGCATCGATTTTGGATTTGAAACATGAAGACAAAAGGGCTGGATTTTCGGAAGAGCTGGATTTTGAGAGGAGCTGCTTGATGATGGGAACGGATCGTCGAGCCATCGGTTAAGAAGAGTTTTTAAGAATCGGGATGTTTAGGGTTCCGGCGGTGTAACGCTGAGCTAACAACTGGGATGGATCATGAGGGGTCGCCGGAACCGGTAAAGTACTGGCAGAATGGGAAAGTCTAATGAGAGAAAATAAAATTCAGCGTTAGGCAGCCAAGAGAAAAGGAAAATACTGGGGGTAAATATCCAGTGCGGTCAAGAACATTGAATTTAAGTTTCAACAACCAATCGTTAAACGCTGAGTGTCAATGCCGTGGAATAATTCTTTGATTTCAGTGCGTCCGCCGCAGCAGATAAATGAATACGTCACTCTTTTTTTTTTTTAATAAATAATTGTTTTAAATCCAGCTACAATTTAGGAGTCATTTACTCGTTTATTAAGTTGCTCCATTTTTATTTTAAACGTTCAAATTTATTTTTAAAATGTTATAATTTTAAAATTTTACTCTTTTAATAAGCTTTAGATCGAAATATAATTTTTAAAAATATTTTTAAAGTGTTTAATAAATTATAATATATATATATATATATATATATTTATTTATTTGTGAACTTTATTGGAAAAGTAAGTAGCGACGAGGACAATTTAGGATAATCTTTCTACGAGTTGATATCGGGATCAGTGTAATACATTAAAGTTTTATGATCTTTAGCACCGTAAGGTTAACTAATCGGGTTTCGTGGCCGAACATTAGGTTTGAACAATCCAAAAGGATGTGAAGTCCTTTTAAAGGGTTGACACGAAGATTCTTTTAGAAAGAGATTTGGTGTTTTTTTTTGTCTTTATGTCTCTATGTTTGATAAAACCTTGGTAAATGTTAGAATTCTGTCGGTTTTGCCTCTAATGATGGGCCGTTCAGTTCAATCCTTTCAAGCCCAAATAAATTGGGCTAAAATGTTGTAGCCCAGCCCGCATGGTTGGGCCCATAATGAATTAACCGGGGAATTTTGTCGTGTAGCTAATAAAAAATATGGTTATATTTAAAACCACGTGTTTAAATATAATAAAACAAAATTAGAATAAAATTTGTGATTAAAATAACTTTAAAAAATGTTTGATAAATTTATAAGCTTTTAAATCTACATTTAATATGTCTTATATTTAAAAAAAAAAATATCAAAAGTATAAAACTTATTAAATAAAAAAATTATAATTTAATGATTAATCTAATTATTTTAAATATATGTTTAATCACCATTAATTTTATTTCTATTATTTCATTATATATAAAAAGGCTCGTTGCTTATTTGTTGTTAGCATATAATATTACTTTCTTACACGTTTTCTAAAACACTTGACTAAGTCTCGTTTATGTTCGAATTCTGTGTGACTTATGATTTTCATACGGTTGACTTATTAATCGGGTTAAAGCAAGTGTCGGATAATCGATATTTTTGTTGTCACAACAGTGCAATTGTGACACTTGGCATGGATAGAGAGACGGAATATGATCTAGTTTCCTATATCATAGAGGAAACTATTTTTCGATCGAGATTAAGTGAACATTAAGTAAATTTAGTAACATTTAAGATATAATCAACAAAAAGAAGTGAAACTGTTTTGTCCCTGTCCTGTCCCATTCCAAACATATAGTTGTCTGTCTCTTATCCCTGTCTGTATTTGAAAATGGAATGACACCACAATAATGATTTTCCCCCTTTGTGGAGGCTGAAAATATAAGCATTATATTTCTACAAAATAAATAAATAAATAAATAAAAATGTGATTATTCAATACAACAATTATTAGAGTGAATAAATTAAAGAAAAAATTAACCTTTTTTTTAAATTAAATTTTATTTTGTGTCTATTAAATTGAAATTAAACTAAAACAAATATTTATCGATATGGGTTTAAGTATTTTTGTTTTCTTTATACTTTAAAAAGTTTAAGCATAAAGTTAGTTTGAATTTAAATTTTAACCAAAGTTTTCAATATCAAAATTTATTATTTAACGAATGATTCAATTCAATTATAGTAATGATTACGTTGGGTATATAATTAATTTTTTTTTTAGAATATAAAACTTAGAAATTTATTTATAATAATTAAAACAAAATTGACATTTTTCACTTAGAACATGATGCTGCAAACAAAAAAGTCGAAGCTTTCACAAAATCGCAAAAGCTCTTTACTTCCCATAGAAAATAAGCGAAATGAAATGGAACGATAAGACTAAAAAAAATCTTATTCGTATTCCCCAATGCTTCATTGACTCGATCACAACGCCGCATGGGCGCAAAGCCTTCCCCTGCCACTCGGATTTGCCTCCATTTTTACCCCTTTTGATGCTCTCTGAGTTCATTTGATTTAGCCCCTTCCCTGGCTGCTACTCATGGCTTGCCTGAGTGACAACACCTGGGTCGCTCCCCTCTCCAATCAACTCGCCGACTGTGCTTCTCTTCGGGATAAAGAACATGGCGGCGACAGCGACGGCGACGGTGACACACCCTCTTTTATCTCTGCGGCTTCTCAACAGTTCAGGCTCGAGAGGGTCTTCCCCGTTTATGCCATGGGGTCTTCCAAGCCCCTTGCCGTCGTGGGTTCCGATTTGGGTGACCCAATTTGGGACGCTATCAGGCAAGAGGCTAAGCTGGATGTACGTTTCTCGAACACCCTTTTCCTGTTTATGTCACTTGATTAGTTAATGGACTTGTTTAGTTCCAATCCTTGGTGGGTTTTGGGTTTGTTTGATATTAAGTTGAATGAAAATCCCTTTTATTGATGAAATTTTGTGTAGGCTGAGATGGAACCAATTTTAAGCAGCTTCTTATATGCCAGCATCTTGTCACATGATTGTTTAGAGCAAGCATTGAGTTTTGTTCTGTCCAATAGGCTACAGAATCCCACTCTCTTAGCTACTCAGTTAATGGACATATTCTTTGATGTTATGATGCATGATAGAACCATTCAACAGGCCATTCGCTTAGATTTGCAGGTATAAGTCTATTGCTGCTGGTTTAAGCTTTTGAATTTAGTGTCAATTACCAATATGAAACTTGTTAGGGAACTTTCTTTGGCTTGGCAGGCCTTTAAAGAACGGGATCCTTCTTGTTTGTCTTATAGTTCAGCGCTTTTGTATCCTAAGGTAATCGATGTTTTCGAATTGAGTTCGAGTTTGATTCAACAGGGCTACTCCCATTGTTACAACTCTAACCACTTAGATTGCTGCTCCTTGCAGGGTTACCATTCTCTTCAGGTGCATAGAGTGGCACATGCTTTGTGGAGCCGAGGACGCACTGTGTTGGCTTTGGCATTACAAAGCCGAGTTAGCGAGGTAAATTGATACTTCTACCCGACGTGTCTGTGTTGACATCTTAGTTAATTCCTAGGATGATTTTTTTGTTCTTTTTGCAGGTTTTTGCTGCCGACATTCATCCTGGTCAGTTAATCCTCGATTATCGCCCTTTCGTTTAAGTTTGGGAGATGGAACTAGAGTGATTCTTTGTTAACTTAAAGTAATGGAGTATTCGTATGTGGAGTTGCAAAACAATATTGAAAAAATGGTTTGAGAAAACTCCTCATAGGATCGTTATTACTCCAAAAGATCATATTCTTGATGGTCTCATGTTCTAAAGTTAAGTGTTTTTTGTCCTTTTTTTTTTCCAGCTGCAAAAATTGGAGATGGAATACTCTTGGATCATGGAACAGGTGTTGTTATTGGTGAAACTGCTGTTGTGGGTAACCGAGTTTCATTGATGCATGTAAATTCCTTGTCTTGTCTTGTTGCTATTGCTTGTGAAAACTTCAACTGTTATCTCCGACTCTTCGTTCCATGTATTTCTGTGAGATTCCATATCGGTTGGGGAGGAGCACGAAGCATTCTTTATAAGGGTGTGGAAACTTCTACCTAGTAGGTGCATTAAAACCTTGAGAAAAAGCTTAGAAGGGAAAGTCTCAAGAGGACAATATCTGTTAACGGTGGGCTTGGGTTGTTACAAATGGTATCGAAGCCACACACCGGGCAATGTGCCAACGAGGAGGCTGAGCCTTAAAGGGGGTGGACACGAGGTGGTGTGCCAGCAAGGACGTTGGGCCTCGAAGGAGGGTGGATTGTGAAATCCCACATCGGTTGGGGAGGAGCCCGAAGCATTCTTTATAAGGGTGTGGAAACCTCTCCCTAGTAGACGCGTTTTAAAACCTTGAGGGGAAACCTGAAAGGGAAAGCCCAAAGAGGACAATATCTGTTAGCGGTGGGCTCGGACCGTTAAATTTGTAATGGCTAAGCTTTCTTCTGCATTAAATGGAAGGACACAACCCCTACGCCTTCAAAACCTTCCCATTCTTCCACACTAACAAATGTTTATATGAATGTACTTTGTATATCAAGATTAGTTTATTTATCTTTTGCCATAAACTCTCAACAAGCCTCTTGCTCCAAAGTAAGTTTTTGCTGCAATAACCTGTCAGCTGAATCTCTGGTTTTTTTTCTTGGTTCAATATTTCTCAGGGTGTAACTTTGGGGGGCACTGGGAAAGAAGTTGGCGATCGTCATCCTAAGGTTGGTGACGGTGCACTAATCGGAGCCTCGACTACCATACTCGGAAACATTAAGATAGGCAATGGGGCAATGGTGGCTGCTGGTTCCCTTGTATTAAAAGATGTTGCCCCACACAGGTTTAAACTTTAAGGCATATTCTTTGTGGATCATAACTTTTTACAAGTGCAATATATCTGATTCCACACACACTCTCTCTTTCTGTTGATTTGTAGTATGATAGCTGGAATTCCGGCCAAGGTGATCGGGTATGTCGAGGAGCAGGATCCGTCTTTAACAATGAAGCATGGTATGTTTAGATTTTCTTTAAACAAAGCATTTGATATCCTGAGCTTTTTATATCGACATCGTTACGGTAGCTGCTTTTTGTTTGTCGTGTAGATGCTACCAAAGATTTCTTTGAACATGTTGCTGGTAGTAACTATGGCCGATATCCTAGAGCCACTGGTTAGCTCTCTCTTATCATTTTCATTCAAACACACATCCTGGATTTGGATTTTTATGATCAGTCTACACATGAACACTATCCAATTATATAAGTTTCGTCTTTTGATCTCGGGTACTTTGTATTCTGCAGGTCAGTGCCCCGAGACTAAGGATAATCGGCACTGAGAGCGTGCCTCCGCCCTCGTTTCAGCATGCTGATGACAACGTGCAAGTGGTATTATTACAAAGCTTGTTCTTTTAGATTAACTTTTTACTTGCTAAGGTAATAAGATGAAATATAGTAGTAGGAGGTTGGGAGATTATGTTCTGATGAGATATATGAATGTTTTTGTATAAATAATTTAACTCCGGTACAATTTTTTACAATGGGGAATGAAACATTTCTTATACAAGTATGTAGAAACTTCTCCCTAGTAGACACGTTTTAAAACTGTGATGTTGATGACAATATGTAATGAGCCAAAGTTGACAATATCTGCTAGCGGTGAATTTTGGTTGTTACAAATGGTATTAGAGCTAGATACCGGGTGGTATGCCAATGAGGACACTAGGCTCCCAAGGGGGTGGATTGTGAGATCCCACATTGGTTGAAAAGAGGTACGAAACATTCCTAAAAGGACGTGGAAACCTCTCCCCATTAGAGACATTCTAAAATCGTGAGGATAACGGCAATACGTAATGAGTCAAAGCGGACAATATTTGTTAGCGGTGGGTGGGCTTGGATTGTTATAATACATGATGAAGATAGAAAATTTTCCAGCTTCGTCTTGACCGGCGACCCAACTTCTATCACGAGGGTGGATTTGGTGGCAGGTGTGGGAAGGACACGAGTTTTCCGGCTACCGCCCCGGGAAGGAACACGAGTTTTCCAGCTTTATAAGCTTTTTATAGAAGATTTCTAATAGAATTCAAATGTTTTTCAATGGTGAATCAGGTTACTAAATTTTATATAAGTGGATAAACATGGAGGAGAGATGAGAACTGAAGTTAGAAAATTTGGCCAAAATGTCAAATATTATTGTTTGTCACTGAATTATATATGTTTGCTATCTCATATTTCATGTAACAACCTTAAAAATGAAACAGACAACAAAAGAAAAACACAACAACCATTTGGTTGTTCTTCCATTATTGTTGTTGTTGCCCTGTCCTGCCTCTTCCGCAGTCGCCTCCGGTCGACCAATCGTCCCCACCCCGTCGCCCAATTTTCGAACATTCATGTAACGTCGTTAGTAAAAAACTATACATGTTCTGTTCTGTGGCTATTGCTGAGTCTGCAAAAGAAAATGTGCAGGTTCACATTTCGCCGTGTAGTTAAATTTCGATGTACAGTACTTCCGATGAACCCCGGTGAGCTTCCCCGTCGCCGCTCTCTGATGGAACCCCACCATCAGTCTCGAGCATTCTCTGCAAAATTCAACGGCAGCCACCGTTAATACTCCGAAGAAAATGGAGATCAAGAGAACAGAGAAGAAAACCGTACAGTAGCTGATCTTCTGAGTAGCTAGAATGCCACTGGCATGTCCGGCTCCACCCCTTGACTCCGGTGAGAGTACATTGAGCTGTGTAAGTCGCCGCTGCCGCCAGCAGAGAGGGCGGGAATCGCAGCATTTCATACTCCACGAGTGAGAGCTCGATCAAGAAGAATGCCAATAGCTCAAGCTGTTTAATTGACAGAATTCTTAGTTTAAGAACAAATTGCTTAGAACCGACATAAAATCAAAAGCTGATCAGCAACCTTATTGTTAGATTGAGCTGCTTTAAGGAACCTTCGGAGGAACACAAAGGGTGTCGGAACCGACATATTGAACTGTAGACAGTTGAGCATCACTGTCTCCTACAAGAACAGAACTAAAACTCGATAAATGTTTCACAGACAAAGATCTTGTCGAACAAGAACAACAATGGAGCTAGAGAATTCACCATTTCAAGAACTTCTTTCCTAGAGTAAGCTTTATCAGAAATAAGAATCAAATCTCCGACAACAGGGATAGAAACTTCTTCATATTTGCAAGCTAAGAGCATAGAAACCAAACCAACCAGCTGAAGTTTCTTCCTCACAACTGTTTTTTGCGACAAGAATCTGTCTATCAGATTCACAGTGAGAAACAATGTTTCTCCAATGAGATCAAACTTGTCGTGCACTTCAATAAGCCAGTCGATCAGTATAGCTCTCATTTTCTCATTAATGTCGAATTGTTTCGTCATGTAATTCGGGGAAACACAGCTCGAATTCTGCACCAGACAAAGTTCAAAAAGCTCTAAGATGAACAGATCATTCCTTGAAAATGGCAGCCAAGATCCACAGCCAATTTACCTCTAGTTTTCTGTAGTGTGCATAAAGTTCATCGACATAATCGACAACGGCAAGCGGGTTCGTGGAATCGACACCATCGATATCGATTACCGGGTCGTCGTGTTCATCTGTGATATCCTCCATTTCAACCTCCGCCTAGATTACAGAAGATCGAACATGAAATTTGAACATAAAAACTGTCTGAATTGCTTGTTGGGGGATTGGGTTTTCTTACCATTTGGGTGGATTCCTGAGACAATGATGATGGTTCTGGTTTCTCCAAGAACATGGGAACTGGATGATCATTTTCTACTGTTTTGCAATCCTCGTCTACAAATATGGAATGTCCAAACGCATTTGAGTTTGAAAGAAATGAGTTAGGCTTATTAGTTCCCTGCCCAAGATAAACAAATCATAAAGATCCATTATCAAAAGGCGACTGGTTTTGTTCCTTAAAAAACAGTGCACAAAGAACAGAGAGTGTTTTACTTGTGGCTGATGATACTGTTGACTACTCGCAATCTGAGCAGCAAACTTCCTGTAAAAGCAACATTTTCAAATTTCAAGACAAACCCTTTTCCATTTTTCATTTGGAAGATTCAAAATCCAAACAAAACCCACCTCGTAATCGGCCTATGAAATGGATCAACCTGCTTTTTCTCATAGATTTCTTGCTTCCTAAGTAAGAAAAAGGGAAAATCTCAACATCGAAATCCTCACCAAATTCAAAAACAAAACATGAAACTCCAAGGATTCAAATGATATACCCTGAGAGAGCTCTCTTGTTAACAACACAAGGGTAAGCTTGATAATTCTGATTGATATCATTAAGAGCTCTTCGATTATTAGTTCTACTAATCTCCTGCCCAAAGGCCCTCCCCCTGTTCTCCAACCCTCCTCCTAAAACCACCATTCACAGACCCAAAATCAGCAAAAGGTAAAGAAAAAACACAAATTGGGAAGGGGATTCTGCAAAGGAAGCAAACCTGGAAGAAACCCAGTGGGTTTGATTATCAAGTTGGGATTGTTCTCGTCGGAAAACGCCATTAATTCCGGTGAACAGAGAACAGAAACAGCCCCAGAACGAAGAAGGAGATGGTGGAAGCAAAATCTGTCAAAACGGGGAAATGGGTAAGCTTAAAACCAGCATCTACAAGGAGCCAGTGAGAGAAGAGGGGGTTTAATGGAGAGGGTATTTGTCTAGAAAAAGCATATTAATTAGACGCCATGGTGTTTTCAAAAGCAACGGCTAGTGAGTGTAAAATGACCGTTGGATGTTGGGGGCGTGGGTTGGCCGATGCGAAAAAGAGAAGACTTTCCTCTGGGTTTGTCCGAACAACGGTCACCTGAGCTGTTTTAATTTTTTTTCCTTTGCCTTTCTTTGGCACGTGCCTACCCTTTATCATTTTTACCGCATTTCATTTCAAATTTAACTCACTTTTTTTTTTTTTTTATTATTCTCATTCTTTTTTTTTATTAAATTACAAATTAGATTCTCTTACTTTGTATTTAGCTTCAATTTCGTCCGTTTTTTAAAGTTCTATTCAATTTTGTTCGGTTTGAGCTTAAATTCATTTTGGTCTATATTACCGGGTTAAATCTCATAACTATCTATAAGACTAAAATGACACTGAAACGTTAACTAATGAAGTTTGACCAACTAAATTATAGTGATCAAATTGAAACTAATTTCAACTCACGAGCTTACTTAGCAAAAAAAATAGGTTGAATAATAGGCTTTGGGACATTTGGCGCAAGGATTCTAACACTTATGGCACGAGAATCTTTTAGTACAAGTGTGATGGTACGAAGATTTAGACTTTCCATCTAAAATAATAGTGTAAATTAAATACGGCTGAGTTTTGCTTATTTTGTTAACTATTCTATAAATATAAATATTCAAATTTCAATACTCAAATATGACACGATTAACTATTTTTTGAAATATTTTAAGTATTTAATCAAATTTTGTGTTAAGAATCTTATCCCGGACGTGCTTTTTGAGACACTCTTTAGTATGAGAGTTTGAGTCTTTCATGTCTATCATTTATTTTGAGGCTCGAAGTTAGAAAGGTGATGAAAGTTTCATTACCGACGTAGATAGGTGGAGGGCTGTCGCAGAGAGAGAGGTGAATTTAAAAATTGAAAAGTAATTTGATGTTGTGAAGATATAAAATTTAAATATAAAGTGTATTGGATGCGAATAAAAAAAATAATATTTAAAAAGGGAGATATTCCTTTCCCATTGCCAGCTTGTCCCCCACAAAAGGGGTGCCTGCAACGTGGCATGCTTTGTTTTCTTTTCTTTTGAATTTTAGAGGCTGAATGGCTCCTAAAAATGGAGGCTCCAATCCGATGGCAATTATCCTCTTTAACATTCATGGGATCCGAATTAGAAGGACAGTTACATGCTTTGTATTCCACTACAACCCTTCCATTGGATGGGGATTAGAATAACACACTCCGGAGAGTTATCAAACAGCCTAGACGACGTCTGTATGTTTTTTCCCTAAAGGGTAACGGAAATGGGAGAGTACTTTTTTCCCCTTCCTATGGATGTGTAGTATTTAAATATAAAGCATCTAACCGTCCTTGTAATTCGATGAGTGAATCCTCTTAAGTTATGTGGGTAATTTGCACTCCAGTATTATACAGAAATTGGGAAATCCGGTCCCACTCCAAAAATAGAATTAGGTATCCTTGTCAGCTCTTCAATGGAATGTCTTGAATCCAAATAGGCTTAACAATCCTACACGTTTGTACCTTTATATATATTATGGTTTTGGAATTGTTTTTTAAATTATTATTTTTTAAATTTTATTTATAATATCTTATAAAATTTTAATGTCAAATATTTACAAGTTGCAACGCATCATTAATATCGGTTATAAACAGTTAAATATTTTTATAATTTATTTAAAAATATAGTTGGTTGAATTGCAACTCTATTTTTAAGTCCGTGACTGAACTAAAAAATGTTAAGCTTTAACTTATTTAATAATTACATTAAAACATTATTAAAAAAAATATTTTGTCACATTATTAAAAAACTGATTTGAAACAATAAAATACCATAAAATAATTTAAAAACTTAAA